TTTTGCCACATACACATTATTTTATTTTCAATAACCGCTTTCATATCATTCGCTACTACTTCGAGCACTATTGTTGCTTCGGTGCTGGTTGTTGCTTTTTTAGCATAAAAAAATCTGCTTTTTCATTTCCGTATATGCCTACAGGTGATGGAACCCATAATAATTTAATTTCTAATTGGTAAAGAAAAAATAATTCTGATTTTATTAAGCTGGCAATTGGATCTTTAGAGTATAACTGTTGGATGGTTGTGGATGGAACTTAAAGAGTCTGTAATTATGATTACTTTGGAGTGATGAGTCGATTTTGCAAATCTTACTGCTTCCAAGATGGCGTACAGTTCGGCTGTAAGGATAATATTAAACGAAGATAATTGAAAAGTTTTAGCAGCGTTAGGAGATATTACTGATGCTCCAAGATGTTGGTCTGGTTTTGAGGCGTCGGTATATATAGGAAGATAATCGTTATGCTGTTTATCTCAAGAAAAGCTTGTTTAATGTAATTATGGTTTATTTTAGTTTGGTTGTATTTAGTTAGGTCAGTATTGATTTGAAATGGGGAAATTGTCCAGGGAGGAGGTGTTTTGGTGTTTGATGCAAAGAAATCTGTTAATTGTATCTTAAAGTTATTTGTATATTGTCTAATTGTAAGTCTTGTCTCTTATTAAAGTATGTATTAGGGAAACGGCTGGTTTTGATATTATAGTTGACTAAATTGTTATCATTTGCAAGAGCAGCTGACGCATACGATAAACTTAAGTACATTCTCCTATATTCTAAAGGTGGTTCTCCCGTTAGGCATTGAAGGCTTACGACAGGCGATGTTCGGATAGCTCGTGTGGCAATTCGGTATGCACTGCTTTCTATTGTATCTAGTTGCTGTAATAGAGATTTTTTTGCAGAAGAATAAACAATAGAACCATAATAAATTTTAGACCTAATTAGACATTTGTATAAATACATGAGGCTAGAGAAGTCAGCTTTCCAATTAGGAGCGGCGATGGCTCTTAATAATTTATTCGGTTTTAACATGTTTACTTTAAGTTTACAATATGGTGTCCCCAGGTTAGTGTTTATCAAAAGTCATACCTAGGAAGCGAATGCTATTTTTAAATTCTAATAATTGCCCTTGTAGGTATACTGATGGATTTACTTGTAAATATTTTGATTCTGACCGACGATCTAAGCTATCTAGTAATGTTTGAAGATGTTATTGAGTAGATGTGATATTTTTCCCTTTTCCCTCAGTGATCTAGAATAGCATTTATAGCAATTAAAAACTGTTATTATTGCTTTACAGGTTTCGGGTATTAAGATGCTTAAACTAGAAGTTGATATGACAGTAGGAAATTTAAGACTTTGATATGTACTACCAGTAGCCAAAAATCTGATCGTTGCACTTAGCCTCTCATGTGGTGATATAGCTTCTTTCATGTTGGTGTCTTGCTTTTTTATAATTGGTGTTACTAACCGCAACAATTTTAGATATCCTCACACTCATTCTTAAATAGTTTGACCAATCAGAAGGTTCAAAATGAAGTTCCTTTAATAAATTTAAATGCGAAAGTGTATTTCTTTTCAGGGGCCAATTTTTACTCAATCTACTTCTCCTTTTTCGTGGTTTTTTTAGTGCCAAACACAATGCGACCGAAATTAGGCTATCTTCGTCAATCACTGAACTGTGCAAGACAAATAACAACTGACAACTAAACTGATCGTCTAACCACGTCTAACAGTCCAAACTGAACTGATAACTGTACTGAAACTGAAACTAAACGGAGAACTGATCTGACCGTCTAAAAGTACCTCTAAGAATTCGTATTTGATGTGAAAATCACAATCTAAATCCGCTGATTATCACGACGATGAACTTCGAGAATTACCGGAAGTGGCTTATGATAAATTTACCTCCAAACAGCAATATAATATTAGATAATGCACCATACCACAATAAACAAGTGCAAAGAGATCAAGAGGCAGACCACAGATGAGGTGGAAAGATGACATCAGGAAACAAGGAGGTCCCACATGGCAGAGAACAGCTCAAGATAGGGAAAGATGGAGAGAACTGTGGGAGACCTATATCCAACAATGGAAGGATAGAGAATAGGTTAAAAAAAAACCACAATAAACAATAGGATAAACACACATTTTACATCTAAAAAACAAATATGCAACTATGGCTTAGGGAAAGAAATATAGCATACACTGATGAAATGCTACATCCAGAGTTATATAAGTTCACATAAGTCTCGATTTGTTAAGTATTCAATTGACCATATTATTAAAAGTTTTGAATATAAGATATTTACGACTGCCCCCGTACCATCTAGATCTAAATTCGATCCAAGTGGCATGGGCTGCACTTAAACATTTCGTTGACGCAATAATTGTCAATTTAAAATTAAATGACGTTATATAATTATCTCATGAGTTTTTTTTTGCAAATTTCCTGTTGAAAAATGGAAAAAAATGTGATAAAAGTCACTTTAGTTAAGGATACATTTGTGTCAAAAGAACCTTTATTTGATGCAGTTTTTGATTAAATTATAATTGACTTGGGTGACGACGCAGCAATCAGTGATTCTGATCAATATATTTAAAGCTTGGATCGATTACATATAATATATATATATATATATATATATATATATATATATATATATATATATACATATATAGAGATATGTTCCCGAAGAAGCTGAAGCTATTTTCGTTTAAAGATCTTTTTGTGTGGGGGATCATCCCATTCTGGGTTTAATTTTACAGTTTCTGATGTGACTTCGCCGTTTCCACTATTTTTCTCTATCTTTGATTGTCCTTTCTATAGTTCTAATTTCCATACTCCTTAAGTGTTCTTCCACTTGTTGCCTCCTTCTCAATTTAGGTCTGCCTCTGATTTTTTTACCTGGTGGTATCCATTCCGTTATAACTCTATGGTGTCCATACCACCTAATTCTTTGTGTCCCTCTTTCTCTCTTTGGTCCAAGTATTTTTCTCATAATTTTCCTCTCAAAAACTTTCAATTGCTCTTCTTCTCTTGCTGTTAATGTAAATGATTCTGCAGCATATGCTTCTATTGGTCTTATGGTCGTTTTGTAGATTTTCATTTTTGTGTTTCGGCTTATCTTCTTATCTCTAAACATTTTTTTATTTCCATAGAAAGCTGTATTTTTTGTTTGAATTCTTCTTTTCATATCTACACTTTCATTTCTTCTGTTTACTAGTACTCTCAAACATTTGAATGTTTCAACCTCTTCGAAATTTTGTGCCTACTTTTTCTTGCTTATGTTCATGTATTTTGTATTATTTTCATTTATTTTAAAGGTTTTCTTTAATGCCCTTTTATCCGTTGCTACTATGGTTATATCGTCCGCATATCCTATTATTTGTACTGAATTCTTATTTATAGTTCCTGCGTTTGACAGCTTTTTTATTATCTTGTCTAGTGATAGAATAAATAGTACCGTTGAGAGCGCATCTCCTTGTTTTACTCAAGTTTTTATTTTTATTATTTATGTCCTTTCTCTTTCGGTGTCTATTGTTGCTTGGGAATCTTGCAGTCTTGCAAAAAATCCTATTTGTAAATAAAATGCAGGTACGGCACTATTTCTGGTCCAGTACTATGTCCGCTGCTCAATTAAAACGCAGTGTATGTATGTATTTTTATTTACATCTTTGATAATATATTTTAAATAAAGTTCAACTATCATTAGAACATGTTTTGCATTAAAAAGTTGTCAAAATATATAGAGTCCTGAGAAAAAAAACTTAGAGAGCCGATTTCTTGATTTTAAGTTGGCTGCACATACCGCGTTTTATTTGAGTACAAGCGTACCGCGTATTTGAGCATTTTATTTGTTCGGCGGTATAAACCTATTATTCTATTTTTGTCATGAATTTTCTGTTCTATTCGTTCTATTTACTCGCAGATGACCATGACCAGTCACTCAGTCAGTCACTTCCCGCTTGTCGTACTGTACATACACTCAGTTTTTAGTTTGTAGTTCTTTATTAAAAGTTGTTTCATATAAAGTAATTCAATACGAATTTAGTTTAGAGGCTTAGGTTTCTTTTATTATTTAACATTAGCAATATTAACCAACGCAGACTTGTTGGTTGTTTCATCTGTTTTAATCTTTTAATTACATTGTAATTAAAATTTTTGCAGTTGTTGATAAGTGATTGTTATTCTAAATTTATAAGTAATGTGCCATAAGCCAAATAAAATCACTACTACAATATTCATAGCCAGTATCGCTTTTAGATTAATGTATCAATTTTTTAATTTTTTTAGTCGTCGCATATTGCAAATAAAGATTTAACTTTTTTATCTATTACTATCTACATCTTTCTACCTCTTTATTATAGCAAAATAATTTTTTTTATTATAGCCATTTTGCAGTGGTGTTTTGGTTAGCAGTAATGAAAAATTTAGTTTTACACAGTTGATGTAAGATGTAAGAATGTTTTAAACTATTCTGTATAGATTATCATCATCATCATTATCATAATTTTTATATTATGTGCGTTCTTTGGTTAGGACACACATTTTCTCTAATTTTATGTTTCGTTTATCATGTACGTCCTTGTACCAAAAAATGGCTTTCATCTGAAACTTTTCTTAGATCTTCAACAATTCAACCAATTATTGTTTTGTTTAGTCGAGTTTCTTCATCATGACAGCATTCATCAATTTTTATTTTTGATACCGGATTGTTTGTTTTCCCCCTTCAATAGGTCATCTTAAAATAAAAAAAAACCATCCTTGCTGTTGCCTTTTTATTTCTTCCAAATATTCCAATTATGTTAACTTGAATCGTGCACCTTTAAAATTAAGAACCTTACTTTACTTACTATATGTCAGAATTTGCCATCATCTTGACATAAACATGTTGGCAACTGATAAAAAGTAATATTGTGAAAATATGACTTTTTCAACGCATCCTAGATTTAATGTTTTCATTTTTTAATGTAATTTACATTATTTCAGATTTTAAAAAATGGGAAATTGCTGTTGTGGAGATATTGACAACACGTATGATGGGCCAATACGATCCACGCGCAGTTCTGCACCTTCTTCGATTGTAATTACTACTCCTCCAACTTTGAATCTCTCTAATGACAGAGCATCAATTCGTCCTAATGCTGTTACAGATAATACTGCCAGAACTCCTGGTTGTGGTCCTACAAGCTCTAAAACTAACCGGGGGAGACCAAGGGATAGACGAGATAACAACAAAACACTGGCGTCATCTGGAAGACATTTAAGTTCATCCAAAATGATAAATCAACGTTCTACGATAAATACGAACAGAACAACGTACCACGTACTAGTGCGAGAAGATCCAGAAATCGTAACACAACTATTAAATACTTTCAGCAATTTTTACATAAATTTAACTGATGATGTATATCAATTAGAGAGACTTAGAGAGGAGTCCTTGGAATATCAACGTATCAAGAGCATATTTTTTCAATCTAACAAAAGCTTTTTTAAATTACATAGCATCGAGAAAGTACACAATCCTTATCTTCTAATACAATATGGACTTAAAAAATATGAATACACCCGTAAAAGAATCAGTTACAGAGAAACATTACTGTTTCACGGAACTAAGAAAGCAAATATTGACAATATTTGCCGAAATAATTTTAACTGGAGATTAAAAGGTACGTAAAGATCTTTAGCATGTTTCTTTAAAAAAGTTTAACTTTCTTTTTGTGTTTTCTGTTATCACCTATGTCTTGTTTTAACAAAGTATTCATGTTTTGTCCAAAAATATTGCCGTTATTCGACACGCATACTCAACATCTGAGAAAGAACGACGTTTCGACGTGCCGAAACGTCAGTATTAAATTCTCACCGCCGTTCTTCAGAGAACTTAGTAATTTTCATATATATATATATATATATATATATATATATATATATATATATATAATAAAAAATTTTTAAGGGATAATAGGAGACGCCATTTGTAAAATTTTTTGCTAATAATGTATCGCTCAAACTGTTAAGGTTTCCGAAATAAAGTTAAATTTGTCAATATTCGACAATAGTCTATTTCACGTTTTAAAATTATTTAGGCATACTACCTCCCTGTTTTACGAATGGAATAAAAATGTAAACCTACAACAATGACTCTTTGCAGAAAATTTCCATCAGATATCGTCATTCTCTGAACGCACAACAAACAAAAAACAATCTATCTGCTATGAAGTGGTTTATTTTGGTTTATAAACATGGTTATTGTATGCGTATGAAAGGTGCGTTTTACTGTTTTGACATCCGAATTGTGTTTGAAGATTCTTGTGAGTTTTTTGTGCATTACGATTTTGAGCTTTGTTTGAGTTGAGTGAACAACCAGACTGTGTATGTGCAAAACGTGATTTATAGATTAGCTGTGATGGCTTCGTTTTCGAATGCAGAGTACGAAGACATTCTGTTTCTCTATGGCTGGAGTGATGGAAATGCATCTGCAACACGTTGAGAATATCAGCGCAGTTACTCTAACTGGCGACTTCCCCATGTAAGTGTCTTTATTAACACATATTGACGAATTAGTGAAACTGGTGTAGTGTTAACAATCCTGTTTTCAGTATTATTCCTGGACGTTACCGTCCTGGTGTAGACGCCCAAATTTTGTAAGCTGTTACGAATGATCCTACCACAAGCGCCAGAAAGGTTGCTTGACAGTTAAATGTCTCGCAATGGAAGGTCTGGTCGGTAGTGCCCAACTACCCTTACCATTATCATTACACGCCAGTACAAAGTCTTCAAGACGGTGATCCAATTAGAAGGGTACATTTTTGCCGCGTTTTGTTAGATGCAGACAACAATGGTAATTTTCTTAAAAACTGATGAACTGATGAATCCAGTTTTAATAGAGGGGGAATAACAAATTTTCACAACCTGCATTACTGGGCACATGAGAATCCCCATCTACCGAAAGAAACATCTTTTCAGCAAAAATTTAGTGTTAACGTTTGGGTAGGAGTTATCGGACGAGAGGTAATAGGACCTTACTTTTTGCCAGGCTGGTTAAATAGTCAAGTATACGTAGACTTTATAAAAAAATGAATTACCACCACTCTTAGAAAATTTATCCCTTGCCTCGGACGAAGGATGGTGTACCAACATGATGGATGCTCTGCACATTGTGCACGTGGATCGGACGAACTAGACCGATTTTGTGGCCTGCTAGATCGACCGATTTAACACCGTATGACTACCACATCTGGGACAGATTCAAAGAACTTGTTTATTAAGTTCCAAATAGATTTGATGTTCTTTGTTGCTATTTTTATATTGTCAATAACCTCTAGTGTTTGTATTAATTTAGGTGTTAATGATGGTATAAAAGGTAGTGTATGATAATAGGTGTTCTGATTATTGGGTACAATGTGTTCTGAGATTTAGCAAAAAATGGTGTTTATATTAGAAATATTAGAAAAAAGCATCCTATGTAGCATATCTGGAGGATAAGAGTTCTCAATTAAAATATTTTTTAATAATTGAAGATCTTCTTGTAGACAATCGGGATGGGAAAGCCTTAAAACACGTTCTTTTAATCCTATTATAAGGTTCTTTTTCATCTTACTTGGATGATGTGAGTAATAGCCTATAAATCTATTACTACATATGGGTTTTCTAAACCATCTAGTTTTCAACACATTTTCTGTAGTTCTTACAATTCTCATGTCAAGGAATGGTGGAGAATTATCTACCTCTTCCTCAACTGTAAACTGTATATGTTGATTATGATTGTTGAAAATGTTCTCTTTCATGAATTTTGTGTTTATTTAAAGATATGTAGATGATTTAGTTTTGGAACTTCCTAAACACAAAATTCATGAAACAGTTAACATTTTCAACAATCATAACCAACATATACAGTTTACAGTTGAGGAAGAGGAAGAGAATTATCTACCATTCCTTGACATTAGAATTGTAAGAACTAAAGACAATGTGTTGAAAACTAGATGGTCCAGAAAACCCATATGTAGTAATAGATTTATAAGCTATTACTCACATCATTCAATTAAGATGTAAATGAACCTTATAACAGGATTAAAAGAATGTGTTTTAAGGCTTTCCCATCCCGATTGTCTACAAGAAGATCTTCAATTATTAAAAAATATTTTAATTGAGAACTCTTATCCTCCAGATATGCTACATAGGATGCTTTTTTCTAATATTTCTAATATAAATAACTTAACACCATTTTTTGATAAATCTCATTGTACCCACATGCAAACACATTGTACCCAATAATTAGAACACCTATTATCATTCACTACCTTTTATACCATCTTCTTCTTAGAGTGCCGTCCCCCTACGGAGGTTGGCAATCATAATGGCTATTTTTTATTTTAGAACTTGCTGCTCTAAACAAATCAATCGATCTGCATTGGTACCAATCACGTAGATTCTTTAACGATGAGTTCTGCCTTCGGCCAACAGATCTTCTTCCTTGAATCTTTCCCTGTATTATCAGTCTCAAAATTTCATATTTTGGTCCCCTCATCACGTGGCCTAGGTATTCCAGTTTTCTGGTTTGTATAGTGGTGATTAGTTATGTTTCTTTACCAACCCTCTCCAGTACTTTTTTATTTGTAATTCTATCAGTCCATGATATTAACATCCATCATTAACACCTAAATTAATACAAACACTAAAGGTTATTGACAATATAAAAATAGAAACAAATCTATTTCATCTTTATATTCCAAAACTAAGTATCCTATAGATAAATTAGATAAAACAAATGTAGTATATAGCATTAGTTGTACTTAGTGTGAAGTTGTGTATGTTGGTGAGATCGGAAGGAATCTGTCATACCGTATTATTTCCCACAAAAGTGACTGTAGAATAAAAAAACCATCTTGTGCTTTAGCAGAGCATGTAATCGACAAAGACCATATTGTTACGAACATGCATTCAACAGCTCACAGCATCTAAGTGGCCCGCCTTACGGTCGCATCTCGAAGCATCGAGAAGTGTCGGCGATACATCAAGCGCTGTAAAATTCCACCCATCAGATAACGAACTAGAGGTGGGACTACTCCCGAATATTCTCGAAAATAATACTTTGGTATATATATGTAACGGTGTTAGGAGTAAGTTCAGTTGATAAGAGAATACCGAACTGTAAAGTTATAAATAAATATATTTATATAAATTCGAACCGCTCGTTTTATTTAATCTCGCTACAGTGGTGTCCGGTGTGAGATTTGAAAATAGTCAACAGTGACTTTTGAAAAAGACTTTTGAACTTTTGAAAAGTATTGTTCGTCGGGAACAACCCCGTAGTTCAGTAGTGATCGTTGTACGAAAGAACATTTAAAAAGTACGTGTGTGCCTGACCAAAGATGCTGCTAGTACAACTTTCAGTAAAACAGTTGCGTGAGCAACTTGAAGAACGCGATGAAGACTGCAGCGGGTCCAAGAAGATCCTCCAAGAACGACTAAAGAATGTTCTTAACAAGAATGGAGATGACCCAGAGACATTCCATTTTCAATCAGCAGAAGAAGCAGTTTTAATGAAGATAGAAGAAACTTCTAAGAAAAATGATAATAAGTTCGATACCGTTTCCAAAAGATTCGATGAAACGTCGCAAATGATTGAAGAATCTTCTCGAAAGAATGATGAAAGATTCGATGAAACGTCTCAAATTATTAAAGAAATAGCTAGACAAAATGACGAGAAATTTGAAAATATGTCTAGAAGATTCGACGAAGTATGTAACCAAAACAATGAGAAATTTGAAGAAGTCTCAAGAACATTCGATAAGATACAGAAAAATGTAAACGACAAGATAGAAGACGTAGAAGAGAAGATCAAACAATTAGAAATAATGATAACTAACACTAAAGTGCTACCACCAGTTAATAAAGTAGCCTTAGATCCGGTAGTAAAAGAAGAATTACCGAGAGACGAAACGACACATCATATGAGATTCAAATTGCCACCATTTGATGGAAAGTCCTCTTGGTCCATATACCTTAGACAATTTGAAGCTATTGCGACAGCCAATCATTGGACAGAACAAGAAAAAGCTGTTTCCTTGACTGCTGCTTTACGAGGTGATGCTGCAGATATCTTAAGATCGATTCCTAAGGGTCAAGAAAAATGTTACCAGACCTTGTTCACTCGACTAGACAAACGTTACGGAGATGCCCATCTACAACAAGTCTACAAGGCGCAACTAAGAAGTAGAATTCAACGAGCAAGTGAGAGTTTGCAAGAATTTGAAGCGGATATTGCTCGTATAGCGCTGTTGGCCTATCCAGAGGTACCAGACAACATTTTGGAAGAAATTGCTGTAGATGCCTTCGTCAATGGGTTGAGAGACAGTGAACTACAGAAAGCTTTACGACTAGCAAGACCGAAAGTTTTAGATGAAGCGCTCGCCATTGCCTTGGAACATGAGATAGCTAGTCGAGTTTCACGGAGCTATCAGGTACGAACCTCTGAAGAGAGTGACGAACGAAACGATAAACGTCTGGAGGAAATCGTACGGAAAGTAGTTCGTAACATGATGCCGAAGAGACGTGAACCCAGATGTTGGAATGGTAACAACGAAGGTCACATTCGCCACAAAGTGCAAGAAAATAATACAACAGTCAGAAAGCTAGAACAGATCGAGCACTGCTAGAAAAAGTTTTTCAAATGCTGATGTTCAATCAAGACGGCCATACAGTGAAAATCGTAATCATTGTCTTAAATTAGAAGAACGACTTTGCCCCGTGAGGCGAACCACCGTTATTAATGATCAATGGCAGCCTCAACAGCTACAAGACGCCCAAGCAGATGATCCATGTATAAAAAGAGTATTGGATTGGGTGCGTCGAAGTGAAAGACCTTCTTGGCAAGACATTAGTGCATGTAGTCCCGAAGTCAAGTGTTACTGGAGCCAATGGAATTGCCTAGTGCTGAAAGATGATCTTCTGTATAGAACCTTTGAGAACGATGATGGTACAGAAACTAAGCTTCAGTTGATTGTACCTAAAAGTAAAGTGTCAGAAGTATTGCGTCAGTTGCATGACGGTGCATCAGGTGGACACTTTGGTATTACGAAGACTCTGCAAAAGGTTCGAGAACGGTTCTATTGGGTGAACTGTAAAGATGATGTAAGAAGATGGTGCCGGAAATGTGAACTGTGTGCAACTAGTAATGGTCCAGTTGGTAAAAAGAGGGCACCCATGAAACAGTACAATGTTGGTAGTCCTATGGAGAGAGTAGCAATCGACATTGCAGGTCCACTTCCAGAGACGAATGATGGAAATAAATATATCCTGGTAGCCATGGATTATTTTACGAAATGGACTGAGGCCTATGCGATACAAAATCAAGAAGCTGCTACCGTTGCAGAGGTACTTGTTAAAGAATTCTTTAGCCGATTTGGTGTTCCCTTGGAGATCCACTCCGACCAAGGGCGAAACTTCGAGTCAAACCTTTTCCAAAACGTTTGTAAATTGATTGGTGTCAATAAGACCAGAACGACACCCCTGCATCCTCAATCAGATGGAATGGTCGAGAGGATGAACCGAACGATGGGTAAACACCTGTCCAAAGTTGTATCAGAACATCAAAGAGATTGGGACCAGCACATTCATTTATTCCTAATGGCCTACCGCTCGGCCGTGAATGAAACTACGGGCCAGACTCCAACCTGCCTGATGTTAGGTCGTGAAGTTCGTTTGCCCTGCGACCTAGAGTTTGGCTGCAGACCTTCTGAAGAATATGTTGCAAGCGAAGATTATGTCGACCGCCTAAAGTTAAGAATGAACAACATTCATGAACTTGCCCGACAGCACATCCAGTTAGCCAGTGACAGAATGAAAGATCAATATGATTCTCGATGCAAGAATGAAAGCTATGAAGTAGGTGATCTTGTTTGGCTTTATAATCCACAACGTCGTCGTGGCTTGTCTCCTAAACTGCAAAGACAATGGGAGGGTCCGTATGAAATTAAAAAGAGAATAAATGACGTAATATACCGAATTAAGAAGTTGCCGAAAGGTAAACCAAAAGTAGTTCACATAAATCGTCTTGCACCTTATGCTGGCTCAAACGAAACCGAAGAAGTCCGAACCCTTCAACATGAGATCAAAGATAATCGGCGACCAAGTTTTAATGAGTTTATGTCAAATTACGCAGAGAGAAAGAGTGCTAGATTCGGCGTGACGACAGAAGTTCAGCAGGATCTTTTTAGTGTTCCGCATAACGTCTCTCTAGCCCACTGTGTTGCCCAAGATCTTGAGATGACTAAAGGAATCTCATCTGTATTTTATAAGAAATTTGGTCGCTTGGACGAGTTAAAAAACCAGCAGCCTAAAGTTGGAAGAGTGCTGAGATTAGAAGATGGTTCTCGATCTTTGTTGTATATGGTGACCAGAAAGTCGTATACAGACAGGGCAAGCTACGAGGATATATGGCGAGCTCTGACTAATTTGAAGAAAGTCGTCTGCAATTACGACATTAAGAACTTGGCTTTACCCAAGATAGGCCATGCACTAGATAATCTGGATTGGAAGATTGTCAGAAGCATGCTTGAAGTGATCTTCCGAGAAACCGGTGTAAGAATTACTGTGTGTTGCATTAATCCGAAGAGATCGTGTCCTTCAAAGACAGTAGACTGTTATTTCTTTCTGAAGGGTTCATGCAGAGCTGGAGAGTCCTGTAGATTCCGCCATCCTGGGCCTATAGATAGAGTTCCTGATCGGGACGCTCAGATCTAAGAGGGGAGCAGTGTTACGAACATGCATTCAACAGCTCACAGCATCTAAGTGGCCCGCCTTACGGTCGCATCTCGAAGCATCGAGAAGTGTCGGCGATACATCAAGCGCTGTAAAATTCCACCCATCAGATAACGAACTAGAGGTGGGACTACTCCCGAATATTCTCGAAAATAATACTTTGGTATATATATGTAACGGTGTTAGGAGTAAGTTCAGTTGATAAGAGAATACCGAACTGTAAAGTTATAAATAAATATATTTATATAAATTCGAACCGCTCGTTTTATTTAATCTCGCTACAATATTATGGATTTTGATAACATTAAAATTTTATGTAATGAAAGTGATACTCAAAAGGACTTTTTTGGGAATGGTTTGTATTAGCAGAAGTGATAATAATTTAAACAAAAGATAATTTTATTTTTTGGCAACATAATTGTCAAAAATGAAAATTGTAAGTTGGCATTCATGACATTGAGGCTTTTTGTAATTGGTCACTATTTAACTTATTTACACGTTCAATTATTTTTGTTAAAAAGTTTTTCTAAATTTAGAGAAACATTCATTTGATATTTTTTAAAATAGTTTTTTAACATGTTAAGCAGTTTAGATTTACTAAAAAAATTAATTTTATTTGGTGAGTTAAAATTTATTTTTCTAGTTTCACTTTGTAAGATTTTTTGTATTTTTTAGAAGCTCTTGATAAAGATTGTAAACACAATTGAGAGTATATATGGTTTTGTGGTTTTCCACATCGACTAATTTTGGTTTGAATTATTTTGTCAAGTTTCCCACATAGTCGCGAAAATACCCAAAACTATTTTATTTATGCAAAAACTAGTTCGACAGAACAGAACTAAATGTTTTCAGCAATGTCTGATTCCATTTCGTTCGTAGATTGACGTCACCAAATGAGTACGTCAGGTTCGCAAGATTTTGAACTCAGTCTCAGATCATTTTTCTAAATATCCGAAAAGTGCTCCTATAGATTCAGCTTACAAACATGTTTCCATTTAACAATTGCAGTACTTATCTCCCTCCCATATATATTTTACATACTTTAAGCTGTCAAACTTAATATTTTATTTGTCAAAATATTTATGGATTAAATAAAAATGATATTTTAGGTACCGTTGTTGGTTCCAGATTCGGACAAGGCGTATGTTTTGCGTCAGTAGCTTACTTTTCAACACATTATTGTGACGAGGGATATAACAAAGTGATGATAATAGCTAACGTTTTAATTGGTAGCAGCTGTAGGGGAAATACTAACATGACGATACCACCGTATAATTTTGATACTAGCACAAACGACAAACAAAACGTATACGTTAAATACAACGATAATACTTTCTATCCAACTTATCTTATTCATTTTGGTGGAATAGACTACAAGAAAAAGTATCGACCAAGTATCTCTGAAGGTGATTAACAATTTTTTTTATATACCTATATTTTTGTAACAAAATGTCTGAAGGATTTAAATAAACGTTTTTAATATAGCGTAGATTGTAGTTAAGGAGGTTGTTTGGTCTCTACAACTTTTCACACTATGACCTGAATTTTAAACCTTTTCCTCTGAAATCCTTATTTCCTTTTCATGTTAGGAAATATGGCCCCTATAAGCATGTAGCAAAAAACTTTACAGTTTTATTTTAAAAGTCGACATCTTACATGAAATAATCAGTATACAAAACAAGCTCTTTGTAAGAAAAAACATTTAAAAAAAAAGTACGTGTGTGCCTGACCAAAGATGCGGCTTGCAGAACTTTCAGTAAAACAGCTACGTGGACAACTAGAAGAAAGGGATGAAGACTGCAGCGGGTCCAAAAAGATCCTTGAAAAAGGACTGTAGGATGTTCTCAACAAGAATGGAGATGATCCAGATATATTCCATTTTCAATCAGCAGAAGAAGCAGTTTTAACGAAGGTTAATTCGAAAATATTTTTAGAAGATTCGACGAAGAATGTAGTCAGAACAATGAGAAATTTGAAGAAGTTTCTAGAACACTCGATAAGATACCGAAAAATGTAAATACAAGATATAAGACGTAGAAGAGAAGATCAAACAATTAGAGACCATGATAACCAATATAAAAGTGCTACCACCAGTTAATGCAGTAGTTTTAGATCATGTAGTGAAAGAATTTCATGAAAAGACAGTGAATTACAGAAAGCTTTAAGACTAGCAAGACCGAAAGTTCTAGATGAACCGCTCGCTATTGTCTTGGAAGATGAAACAGCTAGTCAAACTTCCCGGAGTCATCAAGTAAGAACCATTGAAGAAGGCGACGAACATCTGAACGTCTGGAAGAAATGGTACGAAAAGTACCATTGTTACTGTTATTTCTTTCTGAGGGGTTTATGCAGAGCTGGAGAGTCCTGTAGATTTCGCCATACTGGGCATACTCATAGAGCTGTTGATCGAGACGCTCAGATCTAAGAGGGGAGCAATGTAGCGAACGTGCTTATTTCGACGTAGCTCATATAACGTTTGCATCTCGGGACGACGATCTGTGTTCGGGAACCTTCCGGATGTAACGTCCGGCATGGAGATCGACGCGCTGATGCAGACGAATACAGGTGGACTATTCCAGAATATTCTAGTACATAATAACTTGTATATATATATATATACATATATATATATATATATATATAATATATATATATATATATATATATATATATTCTTCTTCTTAGAGCGCCGTCTCCCTACAGAGGTTGGCAATCGTAATGGCTATTTTTATTTTAGAACTTGCTGCTCTAAACAAATCAATCGATCTGAATTGGTACCAATCACGTAGATTCTTTAACCATGAGTTCTGCCTTCGGCCAACAGATCTTCTTCCTTGAATCTTTCCCTGTATTATCAGTCTCAAAATTTCATATTTTGGTCCCCTTATCACGTGGCCTAGGTATTCCAGTTTTCTGGTTTGTATAGTGGTGATTAGTTCTGTTTCTTTACCAACCCTCTCCAGTACTTCTTTATTTGTAATTCTATCAGCCCATGATATTTTCAATACTCTGCGGTATAACCAGAGTTCGAAGGCCTCGATTCTTTTTAAATTACATTTTTTTAATGTCCAAAGCTCAGCTCCATATAATAATATTGAAAATATATAACAGCGAATGGTACGTAGTCTGATCTCCAAATTTAGATTTTTGCACGTTAGGAGTGGCTTCATTCGTATAAATGCTGATCTGGCAATCTCTATTCGCCTGTTTATTTCTACAGTATGATCATTGGTTTCATTGATCAAAGTTCCCAAATACTGATATATTTCTACTTGTTCTATCACGTTATCATTTATTGTCATTAGGTGATGTTTATTTTGTGGCCTTTTTGTAATCAGCATGTACTTCCTTTTTTTAGCGTTTATAGTAATTCCCATCTCAGCACTATTTATACTCAAGCTTTCGATAAGATGTTATAGATCCTCTATACTCGTTGCTATGATCACAGTGTCGTCTGCATATCTTAAATTATTAATTAATTTTCCGTTAACGGTGACTCCCGCTTCGATATTATTGAGCGTGTTTTGGAAAATTTCTTCACAATATAAGTTAAACAAAAACACATCCCTGTCTAACTCATCTACAGATCCTCATTTCTTCTGAGTGTTGCCCATCAACATGCCCATATATATATATATATATATATATTATATATATATATATATATATATATATATATATATAAATGTGATATTCAAAGTCTTAAGTGCGCCAAGCAAATAATTAGCTAATTAATTAATTAATTAAACTTATTTAAATGATATGATTATGATTCTATCACACTATTTACTTCTCTTATCTCAGGGTTATACTCGTGCTTCAATATCTATGCTTTACATGTGAGAGGTAAGGTCCAAAGAATACCGGAATAATAAAAAACATATATGATATAACATTATATATTGAAATAAAAATATATTGAAATAAAATTCACACTCAAATATCTTCAATAAACAATATCTCATATAATGATTATCAAACTTTTGTTCTACGTACGTGAACCTTCAAAATTAATGGTACAAACAATATAAATTAAAATCTCAAATCACAATTGTTGTTCTAAATCTCCTAATGAAAACATTCCTATCTTTTCTAAAGCAATTGTAAAAATTGTGTTGTTAATAAAGAAAACTGATGAATAGCAAAAGTATCTCTCTGATGACGAGTTGTCCAAATCCTTGTTCCTTGTAGCCTACTCTATCTATTCTTAGCAGTCCCCTAGGTAATCTTACAACAAATTGTTGCGAGCCTATCGTCTTTAATGATCTCCTTCAAATGCACGTATCGTTCAAATGATGCTAGCCACTTCTCCTCTCGATAAACTGAATCTCTCGTTCTGGCCTGAACAGTGACTCTTGGAATATAAGTAGAAAAATATAACTTACAATATTTTACTAGATCAGCTTCTGTCAGATACACTAACTCCACGAAAAACTCACTAACATTCACTTCTACTGCTTGCTACCTCTCAGGAACTACCAGAGAACAATGACTGTTCGCCTTGCACAATTGGAAAACAACTGCCCAACTTTTTTCCCTCAAAAAACTAGCAAAAGTCTCAGTCTTACAAACCATCCCACCTTTTTCAATCTCCTCCAATCAAAACTCGTCATACATATCCCCATTTCTTCATTTAGATAACAAAAAACAATTTTACCTACAATTATAAATTTCCTAAAAACTATTAATAAACTAATCGGTTTCTACAAATTCTTAAGAACTAACAGAGAAACATATTTCTAAACATCTATTTTATTATCCTAATTACTGTACAAATCCATTTGGAAAACCCGCTCGCATTGTCTTGTTTCACTAATTTCACTCGAATATATTTTAAAAAGAAAATAATTTATGCATATCTTAAATTTTGTTTGCTCCAGGTAATCCAAAGATAATGGACTTTTACTTCTTTGAAATATCTTTATATCTATAGCTTATTAGTCGAATTATTTTAATTATTTAATTTTTGAACTTTGAAATATATTAAGCAAACCAATATTTTTCTCGATTTTACATATCATAACAAAATATATATATATATATATATATATATATATATATACATATATATATATACATATATATATATATATATATATATATATATATATATATATATACATATATATAAATATATACAGGGTGGTCCTTAAGTAATTGTACAAAAAGAAACCGCAGATTCTACACTCTAAAAGACTACGATTAAAGGCAACTTGCTTTAATAAAATGTTGATATTAAAAAAGATACAGGGTGTTAAAGTGGAAATTAAAAATTTTATTTTTCGCTATTACTTTCATGTTTGTAAACATTTATGTATAAAAATTTACAACTGGGTACTATTCAATTTTAGAAATTATAATTTGATGCATACTTTAATATAGCCAATAGAGGGCGCCACATATGCCACATACGTGGCATACATTTGCACTTAACTTTTTTGTTCTTCAAGTTCCGGTATTTTTGATAAAAAATATTAAAGATACATTATTTTAACAGAGAAAAGGTATACTTGTTAATAACTTCAAAACTCAACAGTTTACGAGATAATCGCATTTTACAAATCAACTACATAATTCTGATTTAACGCAATTACTCCAGGCAATGAAAGTAAAATAGATAAAAACATCAATACTTCTGAATTTTGTTATAAAATACCTTTAATAAAGGCAATAGTTAACGAAATATTAAATAAAATAAATATATCAGCAGGATAATTAATAATATAATTTGATAAAACAGCAGAATAATTGGATTTCACATCAAACATTTTACGTTTTGTATTAAATTAAAGTCATAATCAAAACATTTTATTTACAAACCAAATTAAGAAATAGTGAAACTAAATAACGTTCACCTTTTTGTTAAAGTAAGTGTTCAATATGTCCACCATTTTCTTTAATTTATTTGTCAATACATTCCATAAAATATCGTCTCATATTAAATAGCATAACATTACAAATCTTAAGATGAGTGAAATTTGGTTTGGATTAGTTAAACAGTGATTTTTTTATACTTTAAAATACAATTTCATACATTTTCAACCTTTAAAAATCAATTGTTATGAGTGCTGTAGGTGAAAACAATTTTTTGCCAAAATTTTGCAACTTTTCAACTTTTGAATATCACCCTTTATAACATTGCAGTTTTTATAAACTAATTTAATAGATATAAATTGAAAAAAGTAGAATTAAGTACAAAAAAAAATTGTCAACACAAAAAGGCACCATATTATATTCTTATACATTTACATAAATAGTTGAAAATATTTACATTTATAACAACAACAACAAAAGTTCATCGGGTGCAGGTTGTTTGTTCATGCGTACGGGCAATAACAAACCATCTTTGGAATACCATCTGATATTTTCATTGCCAAGCCATAGACATATGAGCAGATGTTTTATTCTGTTGTA